TAGACGTTTATATGTAGTGTTAATGTCAGTAGACTTCGTGGTACCCTTTGAAATGGAGTCTGTTAAATACTGGAAGATATAAAAGCTAATCAAGTAGGGTTTGAATTTTAATGACACTGCCTTACTAAGCTTTTTGAATTGGAGTAATGGAAGAAAAATGGAAAAAATCAACATAGAAGCATTTTATTATAAGGCTGAGAGGTGCTTGATACCACTTTAGTTTTTCAAATCAAGTGTACAGAGAAGCTAAAATCCTTCTGATCATTACTTTCCTACCAAAAAAAAACAATGGTCTGGGCCAAGTCCTCTTTGCTTTGCTCACTGACAGTTTGCACCAAAGAAAATCCTGCAGCACTTGGAGACATGTCATGCACATGCTGAAATTTAACAGCTAAAAGGGTTTAATTTCAGTTTGTTGACAAGTTGGTGTTTGCATCCCTTAGGTGTGAGGGTGTAGTTTTGGTTTTAAGCTTGGCTGTGATTTAGGAGTTCATTTCCATGCACAAATGGGACCTGTGGTACTGATAGATTCAAACTCATTTGAAATCAGATAAGAAGTGATTTGGTTGCATTAATTGTGATGCTGTGCATGGACTGAAGAGCAGAGTAACAGGGCCTTCCTCCACATCATTCTTTCAGGATCCTATAAAGTCTTTTTGCCACACTGTGTTGCTGCTGAGTGCAATCCTTGGGGCTGGGCAATGTCCCTGCCAAGCTGCATTTGGATGTCTAATTGTGTCATTTGTAGTGCCAAAAATCAGGGTGTTTGTCCTCTCTCCTCAGAGATGATCTCTGACAGCAGTGCCCTCAAGTGCTCTGCTCAAACACTGACCAATTTGAAATCTGGCCTGAATTCATCAAGGCTCTTAGTTGATCAGAAAAGAACATGTAACTGTATTAATTGCTTTCAGTTGTTTGATTGCTTTTTGAACAGTGTTAGAAGCTTGCAAGTCTTGAATGTTTTCCCCTTGATGTAGCTCCCCTTTCTTATCCAAAAATACAGATTGAAAGGCTTAAAAAAGTGTGATTTGATCAAATGTTTTGATCTGATATTCAGGCCTGCAGAGTAACTCAGAGATGTACCATTTGAGGTTTGTGGGGAGCTGAGGGTGTCTCTGCCCAGGGGCTGAGGAGGGGAGCGATGCTGTGGCAGCCCGAGCCTGTCCGGCCATACCTGGGAGAGCTGCTCCTGATGGCTTTTCCACAGATGTCCAGCTTTGTCAAAACCCACTAAATCTCGTGAAGTTTATTTTCCTTCTAGCATCTGTATTTTATAATGGTGCTTTTAATTTGTTTTTCCTTTGTCTGTTGGGATTTCTTTTGTCCGGCACTCGCAGGCCTCCCTTTTTTCCTCGCTGGAAGTGAGTCTGTCAGTGATGGCCGCTTTGGGAATCCAGCTCGGCCCGGCCGCTCCCTCCCTCTGACAACAAAGCCCATTGTTGTTTTCTTTCTTCACTTTCATCCTCAGCTTAATCCATTTCTCCTTTGAGTGTCAGTGGAATAAAATGTCTGGAAAAGAGTGGCTCAGGTTTTGGGGGGTGAGATGCTGGTGGTTTCCCAGACTCTCAGCAAACAGGTCCAAACCCAATGCATTGGGTTTTCCATGTCTCAGCAGGCAACATTTGCCCAATGTAAGGCTGCACTTGCAGATAAACTGGTCAGACTCCAGAGCTATGGCATCCTCAGCTTTTTGGAAGTCCCTGGTAAAATTAGTAAGGCATTTACCAGCCTAGACTGGCTTGAATGTATCCCATTCACAGCTCTGATACGAAAATCTCCTCTATGGCAGCCCAAGGAAAGACAAATACTTGACCCCATCCCTTGCATGGGGTCCTGAGGGCTCAGGGTGATTTCCAGGGCAAAGTGCCTCCTTGCTTGGGATGCTCCAGTGGAAATGATCCTTGAGAGGACACCTTTGCCCTGGAATTGTGCTGGTGATGATTGATTGCAATAAAAGCATTCCTGGCCTAGTCTGTAGGATGAGATCTGTGTGTGTCAGTCTCCAGCCATTTACAGTTAAATGCACTGTCCACATGTTGGGAGGTAACTTGAGTTCAGCTTTCTGCTGGATGAAAAACACAGGATATTTCTACCAGACTTAAACTTTGGCTTATTTGTTGCTTGTCCTTTGACAGTGAATCAACAACGGCTTGAGCTGTAGAAATAATGTTGATGCTTGGCTGCATTCTTTGTGCTCTTTTGGCCTGATCTGACTGCCCTGTGCACACACAACTCCTGTTTGCTGCAGAAGCTTCCTACTTGGAAGGGCTGGAGAAATGAAAGGGTCATTTTTGGGATTCCTGGATGGGTACAGCAGCACAGCAGAAAATTAGGTGGTTTTCTTTAACCTTAATCATCCCCACCATCTTAATACTATTGTAGTCAGATTTACCAGAACAACTTCCCTGTCAAAAATAATTTCTCTCCTCTTTGTAGCATTCTAACTTTTAATTTTTGACTACTATCACTTTTAATTACAATTTTTGCAGTGAAGCAACTGACTGTTGCAGCAGAAAATGCAGGTTGGCAGGCAATGGTTACTGTGACATATGTTTGGTATTTACAGCTTTTCCATTTGTCACAGCAGAATTTTTTTATCATGTTTGTGCTGTGAAGTGCTGTGCGTTCTGAGGTCTGGTTTAGTTAATTTTTTATTGAGGTTTGTATACATCAGATTTAGCTATACTTCCAAATACATAGTTACAAATTAAATGCTTGACCTCCTGATGTTTTTTGGTTTCTTTCTCAAAGAAGAATCATCTCCTATTTTAGTCCCTTTCAGAATATCTTTTACACATTTTCATTCTTTTTATTTACTACTTTTTTGGGGGGTTTATTATGTTTCCTTATATATGAGTTTCTAGAAGTTGTAAGATGTTGTTCCTACAATTAATAAAAACGTCTGAAGGGATGAGATAATCCTGCAGTGTTCTAAGTATCCTTCACTGCTCTGGGAGTCCTCAACTTGTATGGAAGCAAATCCTTGTGTAGGAAGGATGTCTGCAAATTCCTCATTTCTCTGCATGCAAATAATCCATGGAATCAGCTGAAGGCTTTGCATATGGAAAACCACTGAAGCTGGGAGCAGAGGGCACTGAGACATGAAATGTGCCTTGAGAGGGGAGAGGGGGCTGTTCCAGCCAGCCTGGGGATCAGTAGTTCAGAGTTAATCATCAGATTCTGAACTAGTAGAAGTAATAGAAAATAAATCACAGACATTTGGAGTCCCTCAGTAGGTACCTTTGGTGTTTGCTGTGCCCATGTGGATCCAGGGGAATATGGGACAGGGAGACACTTCCAGAGAGGCCTTGGCTGCAGGAACAGTGACTAATTAGACAATAATGTACAAAACTCTTCATATGCCCTTCTGAAAAAACCAAAAATGCATTTTAAACTAATTTTAAAAAAATTAATTGCATCTCAGTCTTATTTAAAACTGAGCTGGGTTTTTTTTTTCCTTTTCCTTTTTCTTTGTATTCCAAGTTGGTGCAGGAAAATTGCTATTAATGAAATCTGCTCCCTGGGAACTTCAATAGGCTTATTCTTCATTAAAGCCTTTCTATTTCTCTTAAAACGTATTGATGGATGCTCAGGCCAGATACTTATCACAAAATACACTTTGTAATTTCATCATTTCTGTTATTGTGCTTCTCTGAGATGTAGAGGTCTGGGGGCTTTGCAGAAAAACCCAAATAAAACCCCCAAGCTTCCAGCTATATAGTATTAAAAGAAGGGTGAAGGAAGCATTGAGTGTCTTTAGGATGATGAGACATTCATTAAGATTTTTCCGCCTTCCTTTTCCTATTTTCAATCCATCTGAAGTACCATTAAAGCTTTTCAGGCAGCTTCCTGTGAGAAACCCTTTGCTGTGCTGTTTTTCTTCCTTGAAAAAAGGTGGCTGCTCTTGAGGCAGATTGTATGGATTTGGCCTGGGATTTGTATAATATCTGTGTAGAATGCAGCGGTTGTTTAGGAACCTAATTCCCAATATGGTTCCCTTTTGATTAAGAACAAAGCCAGCGTTTCACAGCATTATAGGAGCACAGAAAAACAAGTTAATGATCTAAACCTTTTAATTCATGGTTGCTTGTCTATTTAAAGTACTTTTGATTCTGCTATAAACAGACTGGCCCCTTTTTTTGTTTAACTTCTTTCTTTGGTTTCTTCACATTTCTTTCTTTACTGTCCATGAAATTTGGAGCTAGTTTCCTTTTCCAACTGAAGAATGAAAGGTTGTGACTACAGAGTGATACAGCGAGTAAGAAAGCGTATCCAAACTGGGCATCCATCCAGCACAGACCTCTTTGAAATCAGCTAAATTTAGGGTTGTTGAGGGCTTTTTTTGTTATGTTTTCCCTTTCCTTTTTTTCAGTACCTGTGTTTCATTTTCGTCTTTTTTGAATGAATATGAAATTTGTTACTTTTTTGATACTTTTTTGATTTTTACATCCAGTTTGGCGTGGCTTTATTTGCCATAGTTACTCGATATTTCCCTCCAGCCTTAGTTCTGCAGATGATTATTCTGGATGTCTTTATCCGTCGAGACAACAAAAGCGACCTTTTCAGGACTTCCAATTACCAACACTGTATGTGGTACTTTAGGAAAATAATTCCCTTCCAGCTACTCCTTCTTTTTTAAATAGAGAATTGGAATCCAGAGCTTGTCCTTCAAATCGAACTCGAAAACTTTTCGGTGAACAAAACTGCCAGGCAAGCAGCAGCAGCAGCAGCAGGAATAATTTCCCGTGCATGGAAAGGAATCCTTCCTTGTCCTCATATGTAAAATTAGTAATTGCTTCTTCCTTTGTAATTTATTCTTTATCTGAAATGAAGATTCTTTTTTTAGATTTTTTTTTTCTTTTATTACAGCAGCAGCTTGTTTGTGGTGGTTTTTTTTGGATTTTTTAAAATACTTTTTACCTTACTTCAGGCAGATTTAGAAATGATAAATGAAGAAAAAATTCCAATAATGTGTTTTATTGCATCTCTATCCCATCAAGGTAAATTGAACAGCCAAGACACTTACAATAACTTCACAAACAACAACCCTGGCAATCCTCGGCTCCTGCCTCTCCCAAGTCTGACTGTGGTGTTGCCTCTTGCTCAGATCAAGCAGCCAATGACATTAGGGACCATCACCAAACGCACAGGGTAAGTGGCACAAACCTTCCTCAGCCTTTATCATTCATGGGGAAATCATTTGTGTTATTAGTGAGAATTAGTTTTATTCCATATTTTAAATTCAGTGTATGTAGTTTAATAGCAGCAGAAGAGGGGTGGGAGGAAGAGGAGACTGAAAACGTCAGATAAATAAATACAACCTGAAAACAAACCTCTGTAAATTCAGGAATATTCATTTGGGTGGGTCAGAAGGCATTTTCACACCAGGAATTGGAATGAAACATAAGCAGAGCTGTGTTCAATCAGAATAAAATATGGCTTTACTTTTTTTCCCAAGTTTGTTTATTTTGATTTCCAACCTTTTCAAGCAGAAACGATTTTTGACCATCAGAACTAGAAAGACAGTAAGCCAGGTTCAGCAGAAAGGCAAAACTTAATCCTACTGTTTTCTTGACCTTATTTTTCCTCTGTTGCACTGTTCTGGACTGGGTGGATTTGCACTCCAGAGTCAGCTGCACTTTGGCACTTCTCATGTGCCATGATAAAACACTTCCAAGTATTTCTTGGGAAAAGCTTCTCTAAATATATATATTATAAGATTTTATGAGCTTGGTAAATCATAGCAATTTTAAATTAATTAATCCTGTCCAACAGCTGACATTTTTGTCTTGCTAAACTTTAAATATTCTTTGATTGTAATTAAAGCTACAGGGTGATGATTATATTTTTCCTCTCTCATTTTCTGCTTGTTTGAATTCCTGAATATTTTCCAGTTAAAAATCTGATTGATCTGTTCGTTTTCCAAGGAAAATGAATCTTTTTAAGGATGTATATTTTTAAGGAAAGTAGACCTGAGCATGGCACGTGGTTAGACAAAACAACTGCCAGTCCTACAGCTTCCTAACCTTTCCCTGCCTTTTGGCAAACACAGGCACTGCCTCCCTGCCTTCAGTGCTCCTTGCTCAGACCCTGCTCATGGTGAATTTTCCCTCGCGTTTCACGAACCAGGAATTATTTCCAGGCAGGAGATCACGGCCATTCCCTCTCTCCCCGTGCAGTTCCCATGTTTGTGCTGGGGCTCAGGGCACGCTGTAAATCCCCGTAGCTGGGTGCTGTGGGTGCTGTGGGTGGCAGTGCTGGCAGCCAGGAGCTGGGCTGTGCTCGTGTGCGTCCCTTCCTGTCTGCCCAGCCATCGCTGCCGGCCTTGCCGTGAAACGGGAATTTCACGGCGCTCGCTGGGCCAAACGTGAGCCACAGACACACAGCTGCCCCAAGCACAGGGAGGAATTCCTGAACTTCACAGAGAATTGGGAATGGAGCTTAAGAAACAGTGAAGAAACAGTTTGAGGGTCATGTTGAGGTTTAGCTTCCTCCACAGACACGTTTCAGTTGCTCATTTTTGCCTTTTTAGTTTTCTGCTCAGTTTAAGCTGAGTGAAAGAGATTTTGCTGCTTCTCAGGTGAATTTTGGAAGAATATCCAGGTGTGATCCTGGATGAGGATGGGAAGGGAGGTGGGAGCAGGGGGAGGTTGTCACAGGGTAGGAGGTCCCAGTTCCTCAAAGAGGGGAAATACAAAAACCTGACTTGAAGAATATGGCCAGTGAAGGACAGAAATAGAAATGTGGGCTCCCAGAACTAAATAGACACTTAGAACCAGGTGGGACATGGCAGAGAAAGAAATTAAAAATTCACCTGAGGGCCTGCCAGGGGAGGTAGGTGATAGGAGCAGTGAGGAGAAGGATTTGGAAGAAAGCTCTTGGTTTACAGTTGTATTTAATGTGAAATTCTTTACAAAAGTTTCCTTAATGCTGTATTATACCAAGAAACCTTTCTAAAATTATTGCAATTGTAATAAGTCTGCAGTATTTTATTTAATGTTTTATTCTTAAAGATCAAAAACATATTTGGACTGTTCATATTTGTAGTTTTATGATGAATTATACTATTCACAAACTGTCTCTGTTCCATTTTATGTAATTTTTTAAACTAATTAAATTTAAAATGCTCAATGAGGCTTATGTAAGGGGGGAAAACAGCAGTCATGGGAAATACCCTGCTGTGTAAATAGAGTTTTCATGAATGAGGATCATCATTTTCAGCACGGCCCACGTAGCCTTGTAACGGTAAGCCGAGAGCTTCCTTCATTTGTTCTGCATCCAAAATATTTGATGAAAGTACACAAAATTAACATGAAAAGCTGTTATTTATAAAGCAGGGATTTAAGAGGAATGCCTAGGATCCAAGAAGCCTGGCATGCCTAAAATGACCAAATTGAGACAGCAGCCTTAACTTAAACCTCCAGGGGGCAAAGCGTGTGTTTAACATATTTAACATCTGCCCTCATATTTCTGCAAACACATAGCTCTGGAAGTCTGTGCAGTGTAAGATTTCGACAGGACAGGGACCATCTGCCTCGCTGGGAGAAGTGGAGGAGGCATGTATTACTGCAAATGGCAAAAGACAGATGTATTTACACCTCCATGGTCAGCACCTCTGAGCACTGCTCCGAGGAAACAAGGCTCTTCCTTGGGAGCAGCTGCTGAGCCTCCAGTGTGCAGCCATCAGAAAAGGAGCTGGGCTCCTCCAGTCAAAGATTCCTCTTCTCCCGTGCTTGTGACTATGAAAGAATTAAAAATTTAATCTGTTACAGTACATTCAAGCGAGGCTCAAATACCGTATGATGAGAGGGCTGCATTTGTCCGTTTTATTTCTCTTAGCATCAGCTGCTTTAATATTAAATCTTCATGAAGTCTTGTAGATTTTATTAACCAAAAAATCGAGTTGGGGTTTGTTCTGCCAGTATCCAAGACAGCAAAATATTTTGCAGGTACTGAAAGGACTGATCAGTGCTGTTAATACCGTGTGTCTGGAGCAGAGCTGCAAAGCATGTCATGTTGCTTGACAGGTGGAATGGCAGTAAATTTTTTAAAAGTGTTCCCTGTAGCCCTGTGGGAATGAAAGACGGAGTCTGGAATTGTGTCATGACCGTGCTGTTCATCACAGATGCTTTTGTTTCCCCCTGCAAAGATGCAGAGTTTGGAACATGTTCTGATCAGTCACTGCTCTGAATGCCAGTTCATTGTCAGCATGGAGCGCCTTGGAGCATCCCCTCTGCCTTCCATCCCTCCTTCCCTGCCCTCTGCTTCCTCCTTGGCCTTTTCAAGTCTCCCACTGTAATTTCTGCACCTTCATCAAGCACTTCATTTTTGTCCCTCCATTTTGTCATCCCATTGACTGGCTTTCCTGGAGTCTGTGCTGTCAGCACATTCAGCCTTTCCCAGAGGGGCTCTAACACTAATGAGTAAGGAAGCTCCTGATGTTTTAAAGATTAGGGGGGGATGCAGGACAGCACAAGAGCTGGGTTTAATAAGTCTTTCTATATCCGTGCCTCAGTTTCCCTCTCAAAATTTTGATAGCAATGCTGAATTCCTTGTCAAGGCTGGTGAATGGGTTAATTCATTGCTCTTTACAAAGAGCTTATAGACTGGGAAGGGGGAGAGCTGTATGATCCATCTCATTGTCCATAGAGGGCAGTGACTCAGAACATTCTAGAATTCAGCTTTGTGCCCCACAGTAGCTCCAGAAGAGTTCCCTGGGTTTGTGGGATGAGTTGTAGTTAATTTCCAGAAGGGACATGGATGAGCTGTAATGGGAAGGAGGGAAAAAAAGATAAAATAATTGCCCCAAAAGAAAAACTGTTGTCAAAGTTGGCTCCTCTGCCAGCAGCATTTGTTTGAACTCCTCAAGGGACAGGGTCATTATATTTGTATCAAACTTCACTCCCCAGCTCATCCTGGCTGGAGTGAGCTGCAGGATGGAACCTGCATTAGCTGAGCCTGGTCAAAACACAGAAATCCTGTGTGCCTTGCAGGAAAAGGATAAACCTTGCTGTTTTCCAGCCAGGAGATTTAGATAGTGTATTTTAAAACATGAAACTCTATCCCTTCTTCACCCCATAGCTCATTCCACCCTCAGTGAGGAAGCAGGTAAAGTGTCTGATGCAATTTTATGATTTTCATTTTCTGTGCACAGAAAGTCACTGATAAGTGACTGATATATCTTGGATTATATATATATATAAAGTCACTGATATATCTTGGATTTATTTTGTCTCAGGGAGCTTCATTTGTCCCAGAGTCAGCTGCTGCAGGAAACAAAAATAAGTGGTGCAAAATCACCACATTATGGTACAATTAATTAGGAAAAAATAACTGAAAAAGTAGAAGGAAAAAAAAATAAAGCTAAAGAGTTCAGCACAATTGTCTGAAGCCAGACATTCTCTTTCTGGCACATTTCTCAGACATATTTTATATCATTCTTAGTTTTTATAGTATATTTTAGTAGCAAAGTAACTGCTGTAATGATTTGTAATTGATACAAGATACAATTATTTGCACTGAAGTTTGTTCAGATGTCACTGTTTATGAGAGGATTCTCGATTTGGCATAATGAGGGCTAGAATAAATGGGTATTGCACAGCTTATTAAAAGCTTAAATAGGTTTATTAAACATAACCACACAAAATCAAAGTATTTCATTTGTCAATTTGCTAAAACTCAGAACCAGGTAAGAAACTGCGAAAATTCTGTCAGAATTTGAATGGTAAATCATCCTCCTTGCATGATTTCCTTTGGAATTTCTGCCTGGCTCTGGGAAAGGGAACCTGGGTGAGTTTTTCCTTGGCCCTGCTCTCTTGCTGTCACCGAGCGCAGCCATCTGGTGCTGTCTCTTCAAGGCTGGGTTATCCTGTAATTTGTGAATTCTCTCTCGCTCTCAATTAGCATTCCATCCATATTATGGGAGGGAAATAGGGGGAAACAATTGCTTATATAAATATCATAGGGGAAAAAATGGTTGTCTTGAAAGAAATCAGGTCTTTTGAGCAGAAAGGTGGTGCTAAGTTGGGTTTCTTACACATAAAGCATTTTAATAAGTCTCTGCTGGAGTCTTTGGAAGTGTAATGACATTTTCTTCATGATACAAAATTTTCTATCCAAAACTGACTGAACAAAACCTTCAGTTGAAGCCCACCTGGGCCAGTTTGTAATTAAAATATAGAGAAATTGTTAATTTGTACAATCAGGTCAATATAGGAGTAGTGGAAGAAGAAAAAGCTTCTGAAATGTTTAATGGGCTCAGCTAAGTGTTATTTGCCTGAGGTTTGAAGACAGAGCAACTTAGAGAAGAAAAAGAAATAGTGTCCAAAACGTCCCTGATCATCATTTAGAAATGAAATTCTGAGCTCCCAGGCAGATCCCACCCCTCTCCAATGACTCTTCAGATTTACACTCGATACATTCTAGGTTTTAAATCATGTTGGCCTTGGGTTATGCAGGAGATTTAGCTTTCAATTAAATATTTAAGCAGTGCAATAGTGCTGGACTCATCTTCCAGACTGGCCTTTGACTCAGGGACTGGATGTGCTGACTTTATAGGAGATCATTCAGTTCAGACAATTTAATTGGGTTTTACCACTGTTCAAAGATGATACATTAGGTCTAGAAGGGTGGTTGGTTCTGTCAAATGAGCTCTGTCCCCAAAAATGTGAACCAATTTATTAAATACAGAAAGTTTAAGGCCAGTCCCTTATATGGAGCTCAAAAATTATTTTTTTGGCCCATAGTACTAATTAAAAATAGGAGTTTTTTTCTGTAATATTCTGTTCTTTATTGGATGTTTGCATCTTTGCATGTTGAAGAATATTTGTCTTAGGTTTGTACCTTCACCTGAATGTTTTTTGAGAGGATCCCTTCATTCATTGATGTTGTGCTCATGTCAGATTTAGTTCACTGAATTCTTTTTTATCAGGCTGGTATCCTTTTAATTGTGTTGGTCTATGGCTGAGTGCTTTACACATCCTTCAGTGCTGGACCCTTTCTGGTAATTCATTGCCTGGAAATATTTCACCTGTTTCAACTACCCAGAACTTACTGCTGAGTCAGAGTATGCAAAGAAAGCAGAACCATTGGCATTTACAAAATCAATTCTTTAGTGATTTTGTGGATGATGTTACATCCCAAATGAGACTCAGAAGAAGCCTTGAGCCTCTGAGTAGCTCTAAATTTGCCTCCTTTTCAGATTTTATGCAAATGTCACTATGGCAATGGCTTTTTAAATGGAGATACCCATTGAAAATTCCCTCAGATTAATATCAGGTTCAAAACTCTCCACTGTGCAAAATACTTGAGCAGAAGATGAAATCAAATCATGGTGTAAATTGTTGGGTGGCCAAAAGCACTCAGCTCTAGATCTGGTGACTGAGCATCAAATACATTTGAAGTGAGTTAGGGCTCTCTTTCCTGCATCTGTGCAAGCTTTTAAGGGGGGGAAGAAAAGTTGAATTCCATGGGGTGTTTCTGTCCTAGCAAGAGGCTGAGTAATTGTCCCTGAAAGGCTCTGCTTGCCCCTGTTGGAAAGTTGAATTCCATGGGGTGTTTCTGTCCTAGCAAGAGGCTGAGTAATTGTCCCTGAAAGGCTCTGCTTGCCCCTGTTGGTTTTATCTGAGCTCCTCTCAGTAACTCTGTAAACCTGCCCCACTGTGCCCGGCCTGTTCCATGGCAAACCCCCCAATGATTTGGGGCTCATTCCCTTTTCCTGTCCTGACTGTAGTGTCTGCTGCAGCCCAGCTTTGGCAGCAGATTGGAGGGGCCCTGAGCTGGGCCTGAGCCCAGCTCTGACTCTGAGCCCAGCTCTGACTGAGCCCAGCTCTGACTCTGAGCCCAGCTCTGACTCTAAGCCCAGCTCTAGCTCTGAGCCCAGCTCTGACTCTGAGCCCAGCTCTAGCTCTGAGCCCAGCTCTGACTCTGAGCCCAGCTCTGAGTGAGCCCAGCTCTCACTCTAAGCCCAGCTCTGACTGAGCCCAGCTCTGACCCTGAGCCCAGCTCTGACTCTGAGCCCAGCTCTGACTGAGCCCAGCTCTCACTCTAAGCCCAGCTCTGAGTGAGCCCAGCTCTGACTGAGCCCAGCTCTCACTCTGAGCCCAGCTCTGACTGAGCCCAGCTCTGACTGAGCCCAGCTCTGACTCTAAGCCCAGCTCTGACTGAGCCCAGCTCTCACTCTAAGCCCAGCTCTGAGTGAGCCCAGCTCTGACTGAGCCCAGCTCTCACTCTGAGCCCAGCTCTGACTGAGCCCAGCTCTGACTGAGCCCAGCTCTGACTCTAAGCCCAGCTCTAGCTCTGATCCCAGCTCTGAGTGAGCCCAGCTCTAGCTCTGATCCCAGCTCTGAGTGAGCCCAGCTCTAGCTCTGATCCCAGCTCTAGCTCTGAGCCCAGCTTGCAGCGATGTCCCCGCGTGTCCCCGCATGTGGAGCCCTCCCAGCCCCAGGACTGTCCCTGGGCGCTGCTGCTCCCCTGGCAGCTCCTCCCAGCCACAGCAAGGCTCTAACAATGATCTGTTCACTTTCTGCAGAAATCTCAGTAGCATGATATACCGTGTACTTGTTGGGAATTGAGTTCTCATCTAATTTCTGTGCATTTTTCCCCTTTCCGTGAAGACCTTACCTGTTTGGAGCAGGATGTTTTTCCATAAAAGCTCCTTGGTGAGTTCCCAGTTCAAACCCAGCATGCCTATACTCCATTTGCTGTCCTTGCTGAAAATAGCTCTGTGCTTAGACTTTTTAATTTTGGATTAATTTTTTGGTTTCATTTGTTTTCCTGCATGGCTGATCCATAGGTTTCCACGCACATGATTTCACTTTTAAACTATGGATGCGTGTTCACCATCAAGCATTGCAAGGAATTGAATTCACTTTTTTTTTTCTCCCTTCTTTTTACCTTTGGGAGTGCATTTAATTTTTAAGTAGCAGGGAAGTTGAAAAAATAAATTATTTCTAAGTGGGCAGAAATGATTGCAATGTCTTTCCAAACAAGCCTCTCTTTTTTTTTTTTCTATATTGCTTCCTTTATTATTGTAGCACTAAGTTGCTTACAGACAGAAAACATCGATGATGACCTCTGAAAAATAAGCCAGATTAGCAGTGAGTAGGCAGTAAAGTACTGCAGTGAGAGGTGAAGCAGTAAAATGGGTACTGGGAAAAAAAATAAAAGAAAAGCTGATTACTGTGGAGAAAAAAAATCACAGAACTGTCTGGGGTGAAAGAAATCTTCCAAACCATCTCGTTCCAACATGGGAAATAGTTCTGTTAAAATTGGGATATTTGAAATTAAAGGGGTTTCATTTTAATGTGAAAAAATGCAGCATGTTATAAGAATACAGACAAGAGAAAAGGCAAGTTTTTACAAGATTTTTGAGTTTGGTTCAATATTTGGGCAATGCTGCATCACCTCAATCACCACTTTATAACAGGATTGGCCTTAGATGCTGGAAGTTTTGGATAATAAGAATGGAAGAAGTAGGAACCTTAGAAAATTTTAAAACTTCCAGCAAGTTTTCTGGGGCTTGGGTTTTTGGGGTTTTTTTTGTGGGTTTGGGATTTTCTCTTTGTTTTTAATTTAGCTGAGGGTATCTATTAACCATGCCCACCAGTACCTGTTAGAATATTTGTACCTGGCTCTCTGGAAGCTGGCACCACGTGCATCACCCTCAATGCTCTATCAGAATATTCTCTTCAGGAAAAGAACTTGTTAAGGGCTTTGTAGGACACAGAATTCCCAGAAAAAGGCTGAGGAGAGATCTGTGCCAGGAGGGGAAGGGAAGGGAAGGAAAATGGGAAGGGAAGGGAAGGAAAGGGAAGGGAAGGGAAGGGAAGGGAAGGAAAGGAAAGGAAAGGAAAGGAAAGGAAAGGAAAGGAAAGGAAAGGAAAGGAAAGGAAAGGAAAGGAAAGGAAAGGAAAGGAAAGGAAAGGAAAGGAAAGGAAAGGAAAGGAAAGGAAAGGAAAGGAAAGGAAAGGAAAGGAAAGGAAAGGAAAGGAAAGGAAAGGAAAAGGGGAAAGGAAAGGAAAGGAAAAGGGGAAAGGAAAGGAAAGGAAAAGGGGAAAGGAAAGGAAAAGGGGAAAGGAAAGGAAAGGAAAAAGGAAAGGGGAGAAAAAGGAAAAACTTTGCCTTATTCATGGAGAATTTCTAACTCCTGAATACCTCCCTAAGAAGCATTTCTAAATGCAGTTTATGATGCACCAAAGGATTTTGGCTGCTGGTGATCTAAGAAGTGCAGGGGCTCTGGAAGAGGAGTTTTGGCAGTGGATTTCTGAGCCAAGGCTGTGTGGGTCACCCCTGCACGAAGCAGGAGACGTCAACCAGAAATGGTTTTAGATTGAAGTAAGATTAAAAGGCTGAGATTAAAGAGGGGAATATATGAAATAGGCTCCAAAATTGTTGCCTGTCTTTCACAAGACTCTTTTTGTGGTTTGTTTAATGCCAGTGCTAGCTCAAAAATATGGTTCTTGCTCGTCTACAGAGAAATTAGGATAAAAAACACACTTTGGGTGGGGGAAGAAATCATGTTGTTTCCATTAAGGTCTTAATGAGACCTAAAATTCTGTAAACAAAATGGATGTTGATTTGACAGCTAAGTGCCTGCTGAATAAAGGATCCTACCATTGCTTTTTGTGCTTTTTCCTGCTTTATTCATGATCTGACAACTGGAAACATCTTTGTTTTCATGTTTTAGGCACAATGATAAATGAATTAAAATTTCTAGACTTTGACACAGATTTTTTTTTTTTTGTAACTTTATGTGTAAATGCAAATTTCATGCAGTATTTTTCTCCTGATACTTTTGTTGTTGCTTATGTGGTCAAGATAAAACTTTTTCCATCAGCAGTCATGGATGTTTCCATTTCAGTGGGTTTAGTGTGGAATAAGTGCTTTCGTTTTTATGAATCTCATCTATTTGGAGCCTATTTGTTGGGAATATAAAATCAGAGCAATTTTCAATCTTTGCAGACTGGTACTATTTAAATAGTACTGGTATATACTGGTATATATACTGGTACTGTATAAATATTTGAATATATAAGGCAGCTCCTTCATATCACATATATGCAATTTATTTATTGTTTTAAAGTCATGTCACTTGTTTGACAATAGATTTAAAGATACATTTAAGAGCCAGAATAATTTTGGGAGAACATAAAGCTCCATCATGAACTATGCAGCCTCTGGTTTTCAAAATATTTTAAAAGTATTAATTCTTACCAGTTAAATAATAATATTTAATTAGTATGTAAACTAATTAAAATATTAGTAACTATTTAGTGGTTTTGCAAAGAGCTACCACAATGCATTTGCAGAGATTATGGCAGAGTTTGATGTGTTACAAAGCTGACAAGTGGGAGCTCTGAATGGTTTCAGTAGGTCTTAATCTGTTCTTACTGTGCTGGCAACATGAAAGAACTTGCATGCTGAGCTCAGCCTCTTCATTGCTGTTTAAGCTCTGACAAAGTGATGTCTTCATTTTCTTCTTCAGCTTCCTCTCATCTCCTTTTGTGCCATTCCAGTAGAAAATGTCGATGTCTGCGTCTTGGTGCTTTTGCATTTTAGATAGAAATAATCCTCCAAAATTATGTTAGAACATTTAATAATAATAATAATACAGATTTCCCCAGCTACATTTTATTCCTGATTTCGGTTTCTGTACAGATCTAATTGGGGTAAAACTGCTGCTGTGTCTCACTGAGTCCCAGGTGTGGTTGCACAGTGGAGTAGATGCAGAGAGGAAAAAGCCAACTGCCTTCTCATCCTCCTGATGGCTTACATGCAATGCTGTTATCCCAGCATTTGGGAGAAATGAGGAGTGGGATTATCATGGGGAATGGTTTGGCCCCATGTGCTTCACTGACTTGGTTCTAGCATTGACTCCCTCCCAAAAATCTGAATTTCTTGCTGCATCCCTTCTCAGGAAAGCTATGGTACAATCTTTTGGAAGTTACTGTATTATGAAGATTCTTTTAAAGTAACTGTTTTGTAAAAGTGAGGCCAAATGTGCCTAAATTTCAGCTCTTGGAATAATTTATGAAGTGCTGACAAGCCAAGAGCAAGGAAGGAGCAGGAGTTCATAGCAGAACCAAGTCATTCACCACCTACCTTCAACATTATTGTTTTGTTATCATTTATAAAGCTGAGAGGGTGTTTGTGTCTGCAGATTAATGAGGATTTATAGTTTCCAAGTTGTTAAAATATCACAATGACATGTAAAGATATTTTTCTAGTGGCATTACTGTTACTGAAAATAACTGGGCTTTGGAGGTTTGCTGGAGGAATGCAATTTGTGCTGGAAAATATCGATGAAAATCAGGAATCGAGTCAAATGATGCTCAAATGAAAGATTCCTCAGCTACAAGAGACTTCAGAATAGACTTGTTGACATCTCAGCAGCATTTTCAGAAATCTGTGCAAACCAATAAGATGCAGGAATCTTTTTGGTTTGTTTGCTTGTCTTTGTTTGCTAGCAGGGCTGAGTGGAACCACAGCAGTAATCGTGTTTTACAAGGTCTGCTCTCCCTGCTACAAAACATCGTCCTCGAAGGGAAAAGCTCCTGGCACTGAAAGCAACACTTAAGTGCTTGCCTTGAAAGATGCACATCCTAAAGACAAGATGTAAATAGAACTGAGCTCAGACCATTTCCTCTAAGGCTGTTTAGAATTGTATTGGGGCAAACACAGGTCTGGGGACTCAGAGTGTGGAGAGCTCTGGAAAAATGTGTTGGGTCCCAGTTCAGCTTCAGGGCTCGCAGGCAGTTCTGTCTCTGTAGAACTTTGCTACAGTTTGTAGCTCAGAATAGCAGTTGATTCCAATTTTTTTTTTCTATTTGAAATTACTTCGTTAACTTTGAAAAATCATTTTAATTGTCTCAGAATTTGTTCAGTAAAAATTGAGAATATTAAGAATATTACGACAGTAGAGAAAGATCCATTTGTCCAGAGGAAGTGAATATGGCAGAGTCACACCTGTGCTCCTGGTTTGCTCTGTAGTGACTGATGGGTGACACTGTCCTGAATTCTGTATTAAACACAACCATTTATTAATTGAAGTAAGCAAGAAGACTCTAATTCACTGATACATTTATATTTTCATTTCTGAAGGAAAATTAGTATGTGAATACTTGAAAAGTGAGAGCTAAAATAATTCTCAATATACAATTAGGTTAAAAATACTCTTTCTGTGATAGATGATTATTTCAAAGTGAAAGAAATCCATTCTGATTTTTTTTTTCCTGAGTAGCTAATAAAAACTTATCAGTTAACACAATCACAACTTAAATATTCTAATATAGAAACCTGATGTGCCACTGCAATCAAGGGGATACATTTATAGTCAGGACCTTTCCAGAACACAGATTTCTGACCCAGTCATCTGTAGCTGTAGGTTTAACAGTTGGATATTAAGTGCTTTGTGGTGGTTCAATACCAGAGTTACTGACTATAAATTCCAACTGCTCTTTTGGGACATTCCAGCTTCTCCCACATGCACAAGAGTTCCAGCTCTGATCCAAGCCCATGTGACCATAGGCTTGCTAGGTATATGATCTGTTAGTATGAATTAAATATCAATATAACCATACAGTGTTTTAATTGATTTCTGCTGCTTAAAAATATTCTTCTAGTACTGAATTCCATGCACACACTTCTCAGAATTGGAGATTGTTATGTAAAAACCAGGTTAATGGGATGGTCTGATCACAGGCTGAAGTTGTGTGGTAGAAGAAAAATGGAAAGGAGGGATGGGTAGGAAGAGAAGGGAGCAGTGAAATAGAGTAGAGAGAAAAATATAAAATAATTCAATTAAAAGGGCTAGAACAAGGGGAACATGAAGAAAGAAAAATCCTGTGTGGGTTTGTCAAACAGCTTTTCTCTTAAGGAAAGGGTAAAATCCTGATTTAATGAATTGAGGCATGGACAATGCTCTGCCCATAGTTTTGAGTTCCTGCAGCACAGAAACCTGTGAGGAGAAACACCTCAGAATGTCTCAGTAACCATCCTGGATCTGCTCCTTGCACATCATGGGCTCAGGGCACAGTGCCCCAGGCTGCTTTTCCATGTAGAATTCCTGGTATGTTCTAACCAACAGTGGCTCCTGAGTGTGTGCATCCTTCCCTGCTCCTGTGCCCTCTGCATGTCCTTCCCTGCCCCCTGTGCCACTCACATCCCCTGGCTGTTCCTCACTTCCTTTGGAAAAACAAGGACATTTTGACACGTGGAATGGCTGGCCCAGAATCTGCATTTTCATTCCCAAAGGATTTAGGATTTCTTTGTATTTATTTCAGAAGTTGTTTCTACTTAATGCAAATGTTCAGTATTGGGTCTTTTAAACAATTCAGTTCTCCATTATGAGCCAGTGCTGTTCTTCAAGTGAATGAGTTCAGTATTCCAGGGGAATTTGGGAAACACTGAGCATCTGTAAACCCTGCTCAGCCTTATGGGAACTGCAGATATTCCCCTTTTCTGAAGTAATATCTTAAAATTGTTGCTAAGCAAGGGACATCTTCATTTTTTGAGAATTAATTGATATAATTTTATTTTGTTCTTTCTTTAAAGCAAATCCAAACCAGCCCCACAGATTTCACCCAGTAAGTCTGTGGGAGGGGAGTTTTGTGTCGCTGCAGTCTTTGGAGCTTCAAGGTCATGGTTTGCAAACAATTCTGGTCTCAAACGAGAAAAAGGTTGGTACCTCACAGAATTAGGACTTGCATTTAAACTTAAATTCTTATTTTGTGACAGGTTCCAAGCCATTTTTGGATTTTGTTCCTTAAACTCAGGGGCAATCGAGAATTTTAGGAACATTCTTAGGGGTGCTTTTTGTAAAAATGTACAAGAAATTTTAATCAGTGAAATGAATAATTGAAATTTTAATTAGTGAAATGAATAATTGATCTTTTATTATGATACAATGGCAAAAACCCAACTTTGATAGGTCAGTCCAAAGGTGTGAAGTGGCACTGAAAAAATTGTGAGATAAGGATGAAAGACCTTTGCTAAAGCAAATGTACAAGGTAGTTTGGAAATGTGTAATCACCTGAACACACCTTGGTGAGAAACTTCTCTTGGATGACATATTTATACAATTGTGTGAAAATTGTGTGTTTTGTACAATTTTCACTTTGTCTTTCCAGCCCTTTTGCTACTTTCAATTCACCTTTTTAGCTGCAAGCAAGAAACTTAAAAGAACACAGAGAGCCTGCTATTTCTGCAATTTCAGCTTTTCCTGTGGCTGCTGTGCTGTTTCAATAAGATTTCCTCTCTTTCTGCCCCAGACCAGTCCAAGCAGTTTGTGGTGGAGTCCCTGTACATCATCAGCTGCTACGGGAGCCTGGTGGAGCACGTGCTGGAGCCGCGGCCGCTCAGCACCGCGCCCAAGATCAGCGACGACACCCCCCTGGAGATGGGCACCTGCCCCAGGGCCAGCTGGACTTTGGTCAGGTACCTCACTCCTGGGCCTTCTCCTGCCTGCCATCCTTGGGATTTTGCTCTTTGAATGAGGTTTTTGCTGAAGGAGGGAGATTCAAGCCTTGCTCTCCATACAGTTCTGCCACTGTTCATGTGCCTCAAGGGGAACTGAGCTTCTAAATCCTTCTCTACATGTGGAGCTAGGCATGAGCATGTCTGTGAATCAATAGAGATTCTTATTAATTGGTGATTTTAAATGATCAGGTTGTAATTTTCTTTTTGTATAAGGACTAGGAACGATTATTTTGGTAGTGTTGAAGTAGAGAATTCTGCTGTGAGACATGAGCAAGGTTCCCACGATGAAGCATTGTGAGTTTTCCTGTGAGCAGCTGAAGGTACCATTTCTAAAGACAGTAGAAGAAATTATTCCTGACATGTGGAAGAAAGTAAAGAAGAATTGATGAGAAAGTGTTGTCAGTGCTTTTGACGTTTTAAAATATTTTTCTATCGATTTTTCTTGGCTCCTACATTCCTTAGTGCTGCTTATGGCTGGACTGGAGTGATCAATACTTGATTTACCAAGCTATTTAGGAATGGCCCACCCTAATTAAAATTACAACACAGACTTCGGGACCATTATTGTTGAAATGAGTAGGTTGTAATGGAATTGAAAATTCTAATTGGATCAATAATCCATAACTTTACACAGCTTTATTTTCACAGTAAGTGCTCAATGACTTCACAGGATGGAAGCAGTGGTAGTTAACAGAACAAAAAAGTTCCCCAGTTTCTCTTGTGTGTTTATATAACGTCAGCATGACATACAATGGTCCTAAACATATTTACCAACTTAATCTAAACCTCCTTCCTGGGTTTTTTAATGCAATCCCTGCTGCAGTCAACAACCAAGTATTGTCTTTGCCTCACAATCTGCACAATTTGGCCCTGCTGCTCCACTGCCTGTGGTGGATTGCAGTGTTTGAACAAGCTAATTTAAATAATTACAAACATTTTGTGAGCTTGTATAGATAATTGCATGTGATGACAGAAACACTGATTTACATTCTCTGTATTAGCTGAAATATTAATAGTCTTGTGTTTTACCTCAGAACTCCTCAGTGGAATGAGCTCCAACCACCATTTAATGCAAACCATCCACTGCTCCTGGCTGCAGATGCTGTGCAGTACTACCAGTATCTTCTGGCTGGCTGTGAGTAGCTGACAACTTCTTGTCTTGTCTCATGTGCACGTTTTGAGCAGAGAGTGATTTTCCAAGTTCATTTTTCAGCCAATTTCAGTGGATGTTCAACCCTACAGTAGGGCTGTGTGTAACTCTGTTAGTAAAAGGAGGGAGCAGTGAATGTAGTGTTGGGATTTTTACCATGAATCAGAACTGTGAGGCTGTGAGAGTCACCCACCAGATCCCATGAAATGCTCAGGGTTTCCTCACCTCATTCCTTCTCATGCTTTTGGCCATTTCCTCCTGTGAATTCCATACCCAGTGATGAGTGCATCTGCATTTCCCTGTCCCTGGGAGCTCCTGGGTGCTGGGCTCCTTCCAGCCCCAGTCTCAGCTGCCTCCCTCAGGAGCCTTGGCACTGCTGCCAGGGCTGCTTGGCCTGGGTCTTGCCCAGCCACACCATTCCCAGAGAGCCAATATTTCATGGCATGGCCCGTTCAGAAACGTTCATACACCCATAGCTCTCTGTATATGATATATCTATATTGTATCAATACACAAACCCACGCATTTTTATCATGGTTATGTAGAAAAATGAGCATTTCTTTTTGATTTGACAATTGCAAAGAGAGAGGAGTTCTAAGAGTGAGGAGCAGATCTCTGCTGTGTTCAGGACCAAAGTGATGCAGCAGTTGAGGTCTCACAAGGGAGCAGCTCCTGGCATCTGTTGAGGTTCTCCAGGGGAAACCAGAGCTGAGCACAGTTGTCAGTGCAGGCAGCTTCCTGTGACAGGGACACTTCAGCTGCACCAAGTGGCCATGGGGACCAGGGGGAGGCACTTTGGATGGGGCTGGGAAAGGGACACTGGGGCCAGATTGGGTCTGCTGCTTCTACCTGTCCATCTGCTGCATCGGAGTGTTCTGGAAACCTGCAGAGCTTGAGTCTTCCTTCTTCTGTGCTGCACAGAAAATTGGGATAAGACTCAAAAGGCACAAAAGAATATGAAAAATTATTTAGGAGTGCACAGCATCATTAGTATGTATTTCACCTGGTTTCACCTTGTATCTCACAGGGTGAAACCAGGGATGGATGGGGCTCATTTTGTGTATTTTATTAACATTTTATTAACAGCTCAAATGCTGTTACACAGTACAGTATACAATGTGTACAAATCCACATTTCTAATGGTTTAGTACTGAAAACTTTTTAAAGAAAGAAGATTGAGTAGTAGCTAAATTCCAGCAAATTAATGAACTTAAAGGGGTTTTGCATATTTGATTGAATTATCCCTTGTTTGCTTGGTGTGACTTCTGTACCTTTCACATGTTTTTTGCATGTTTGAATTGACACAATCAGGTTCATGGCACATAATGGAATTGCCATGGAAATAGGTAACTTTCCATCACCAGAAAGTCTGACATCCTCATTTCATATTTATTTCCTTTCTTCCTTATCTCTCCACTTTGAATTCATTTTTCCATTGCACAGTAGATGCAATATCTGAAACATGGCCAATTAAAGAACTCGTGTTATTTGAATTATTAGACTTTTAACTCAGATTTTAATTCACATATTAGGAATTCTTTAAGCTGGATGTGAAATGGAAAGAATAATAAAATAATAACCACTAAAGACAGCAGAATATCTAGAGGACATAATGCAAATGGCAATAACAGTGAAATTTGTGTCTGATTGTCTTTGAACTTTTGTCTTCTGGATTTATTCAGGCTGAAGCTCCTCAGTGAAGTCCCCGACAATGGAGTTTCCCACAAAAGCCACCTGTTAAAGAGCTGCTAAGCCCGGCTCAGGCTCCGCTTACCTGGGCTGGCTTTAGCTGCAGCCTGGCTTTGCTGTGCTCTAATTGCCAGCAAATGGCTCAGCCGGGGCTGGTCCATCTGTCTGCCACGTCAGTGGCAGAGGAGCCTGGCGCCGTTTCAGGGTCACTATTTGTGGCTGTCTCTGGAGGTAGAATGCAGCAGTTTCTCTCCCTTTCTGTATAGCATTTCTGCCGATTGTTTGGCTCCATTAAGTGTGCAGGGGAAATAAAAGCCTGAATGACCAAGTCACAAGGGGGTATGGATAGACCCTTTCTTTGTCCACACTCAGAACATTGCATTAGGTCTCATTATCCATTTATAATAAGTGACCTTTGCCCCCTGGGTCATTGAAAAACCCTCAGTGTGCTTTTTAGCACAGAGTACCTCTGTCAGCAGCCGGGCAGAACAATGAGACGTCTGGCAGGCTGCTTGGAGGGCTGCACGGCCAGGTTTTCATAAATAAGAGGTTTGATGCCAAAACACAGGGCCAAAACCTTCCTTAGTCTTTGAAAAATATAAACCAGGCCGGTGACTTCTTGTGCTAAACAGAGAATATTCAAAAAAAAAAAAATCCTGCTTTAGGTTATCAACACATGGTTCAGCTTTTAATATTTTTAAAGAATCTGAAAGTTTTATTTGCAGCTAGAAAGGAAAGAACAAGGAACCATTGTTTGAAGAAATGTTTTGTACAACAAGTGTCCAAGACCTTTATCCCAAGGGTATTTGTAAGTGGATCAGCACAGCTGTTTCCTTGCTTTGAGGTCATCTGTGACATCTGCTGCAGAAACCTGCATCAGTGAGTGCAGCTCGTGTCTACCTGAGCACATCAGCACAGCTCAGGGCTGCTGCACAGGTGAGAAAGTGGAAGTGAGGGATTTACAGCTTTCTGTAAGCTCATGGCTTGAAAGTGAACCTGCACATTCAATTCCACAACCTGCTGGCCTGCAGGAAGTGTCAGGATCCTGATCCAAACTCTGCACTGGGTCAGAGAAAGTGTCACCAGTCCTGAATCTGACAGAGCAGATTGCCATGAGCCCATCCCACAGACCCCTGGATTAATGACAATCCTCAGGTTTTCAGTGCTGGCTTTTAGGTATCAGATATTTCTCCAGACTCCTCACATTTAATACACAATATTCTACCTTCTTTGTGTCTCTAATATCCCCTCTTTATTCACCTGTGTCCTCAGCAGCTTCCACATCTAACCACAACAGAAGGACATCTGAGTCCCATTTTACTCTTCCTGGATGTTTTTGCTATAACATAAACACCTTCATGTGGTGTGGTTAAAGTGTCCTGGCAGTGGGAGGAGAGTTGTGCCAGGCACTCCACGTGTGCACAGGAGGCTTTTGGTGTCCACAGGAACTTGAAATGTTAGAGCTTCCTCCACAGAATTGCCAAGTTTTGTCATTAATTACTCTTTAAATCCTGCCTTCTTCCTGCTGTTTGCTACTTAGGCATTAAGGTGCTTTGGGTTGTATAAACTCCTGAGGATGCTGTTAAGATGTCCGTGACAATATCATGGTTGTGTTCAGGTTTCTTTCAAATGAATTTTCCTCTCTTTTACCAGGCCCTGAAGTTTTGCATATTTGCCTGACTTACCCCTTGTTTCCTTTGTGTGACTTCTGTACCTTTCACATGTTTTTTGCATGTTAGAATTGACACAGTCAGTGTTCATGGCACATAATGGAATTGCTATGGAAACAGGTAATCACCAGAAAGTCTGACATCCTCATTTCATATTTATTTCCTTTCTTCCTCATCTCTCCACTCTGAATTCCCTTTTCTATCACACAGTAGATGCAATATCTGAAATGTGGCAAATTAACACATTAATTAAAAAATCCCCTAAAATTGACCAAAAACTGCCCCAAAAAGGAATTGAATGGGTTGAGATCTGATTTCTCTCCTCTGGCTCTGCAAAGGGCACCTTCACATTCCAGGCAAGAGTTTTGGCTCATCAGGACCAATTTCATGGACAGGGCCTACAGTTGTCAGAAGCGGGCCAGTGACAAGAATTAATATATTAACTGGTGTGCAGTACTCTGACAAATTGCTTACTAAATACATCAAAATTGATTGGGCATTCTGTGTTTAAATTGACAAATGACTGCATTAGGGGAAGGAGGGAAATCCATTAATTACAGCTGCCCTCAACCATAGGAAATGTAATCGTATAAATATAGATTTTGTTAAAACAAAAGTCTGTGCTTTACTCCCGTGTTGCTGGTAAGTGTACTTGCACCTCCTTGCTATTAAACCTGCAATAGGAGGTTTTGAAGACAGATCTTTGCAATTGGCTTTTAAATAATCAAAGAGCATTTCTGTTGTGTTAAAAGGAAAGATGCAGTGTTTCTGCATCCCGCTCTGACCGCTTCTGGAAATTGTTTCTCTCTCAGAAAAATGGACCTGTAGCTGAGGCTTCTGCTGTCTCATTAATTGCTTATTCCTAATGCAATGTAATTTGTATTCCATGATGTGAGCATGCAAACCAGCACTCTGTTTCTCCTTCCTTGTCCCTGTACTGCTCTCCAAGTCATACTTGCAGGGCTGTTACATTTTTCTGAGTAAGAATTTGCACTTGAGTAAGATACAATCAGTTTTATAGGCTTCGTTAAGGGATTCTTGAAAAGATTAAGGCCTTTATTTATAGCTGCCTTTGACTTTTGGCTGTTAGAACAGATTTTCATTTCTGGACCAACTGTTGCACATATCATGTGTTTCACTGAAAATGGCTTTCATTACAAGTCCAATTTAGGAACTGTCCATTGTCTTCAAAGGGAGGGGGTGAGCCTTTCCCTGCTGTTTGTTTGGGTTAAATGATAACACCATTTATACAGATAATCTCTGTAGCTCTGACATCATGTTTGCACTTCCTGCTCCCTCTAATGAAAGCTCTTCACCCTGGGCAAGACTTCTGTCTCCAAGCAGCATCGTGGTTCTTTATGGCCCCTTTTATGTTCCTTTCATACCTTCCATTGACAGAAATAAAAATGACATCCACAGAGCTAGAGAGTATTGTGGAAAGTCTGGGGGTAAGATGGAGAGTGTATTCAATAGCTGTGAATATGTGCTGTGAACACAGACACCATGAAAACCAAGCTGTGATGCTGGAATGACAGCCAAGGAGTGCCACAGGAGGAATCTGGACATTCTGGTCCCCCAGCCCTCCTCAGTGCCCAGCAGGGTGAGGTGCTGCTCTGCTCATAGCTG